GATTGGATATTTGTCATTATATGGTGAACTAAGTGATGCACTCGATCGTTTTACTTTTATTTATGATCCATTCACGTAAGATCCTTGTTAATAGTTATCATATATGCAGAAAAAAAAATAATATTCAATTCTTTGTAGTGATGTGAAAGCACATCCACGACCAAGAGTCACCGATTTCAAATCGGGTGCCAAGGCAGCTGGTCTAGCTTTATGGAATGGTTGGAAAGATGGAATGNTTTTCCAGTGATAGTCCTCAACAGTATGATAATGTCTTCAAACATGAATAAACAAAATATTTGTTTCTTCAATAAAATGATGCCTCGAGGACGGGAAAAAGCTTAGTCTATGAAAAACACCAAAAAATACCGCAAATCGATGATATGTGTTGGTAATCATGTTGAGTCTCGCGCAAACATTGCGGACTGAACATAATACTGTAAAGTCGTCAAGATGGTCCAGGATGCGATACACAAGATCAACAGGTATATTCAATATTGAATAAGAAACTTGATAAGCCATTAAAATTGAATATCGTCGAGTACTGCACGCTGTTGATATAAATAATTATTGAAAACTTTTGCCTTCTGATCAATATCTATATAGAAAACAAATCACCGACTGTTGTCACAATTTTGCAAGTTTTCGTCTACGTAGAGAATAGAACAGTTCTTTCATACATTTTGTGAATTGAAGCAACAAAGAAAAGACATGTCATGCAAAAGATTTAGTGTGAGTGACTAAAGAAAAACATCATCAGAGGCATCGATACTAGCATCAAGACCGTACCCACACCAAATCATACTGTTCATAGTTTATTATTTCTCACATTAAACACTACTTTCGTGAAAAAACTGTTGATTGTCTGGTACTGAAAAATCAATCAAATATGACTATAATCTTTTCCCTGTCTTCGTTATCATCTTGCATTATAGAGAATAAGCCGAATTATTTTGCAAGGTCCACGTTGACTTACCTATTTTTTCCCTTTAGGAATATTTAATACGAAAACATAATGTTTGACTCGAAGTAAAGAAAGAAAAGCGTAGATTTAATAGATTAAATCAAAGTTATTTTTAAGAAACTTAGAGACGATAAGTGAAATTCTCAGAAGACGAAACAAAAACTTAAATTTTCAATAGACTTCTAAGACAATTTGAGATGATGGGCGCGAATGTGAGTGTGTTCCTGATCTTCACGACCATTCACAGTCACATCAGCACACAAACTCACACCCTACCAATTACCAGAGGTGTCCTGATCAACATTAACGAAGAAACAAATGTGAATCATTTTGTTAAATATTCTACGAGAAAAAAATCATGCACATTTTTAGAAAAGAAAGATAAACATTTTATGTGAAACTGAACATTTTTTTATTTGGCATGTAAACACTGCCGTATAGAGTTGCAATGAAAAAAGAAAAAAGTAAATTTCGTTCTTTCATCATAGAAGCCAAAGTCAATATAGAAAGCGACAGCCTTTTTTTGACGCGTCAATACAGTGACTATACGCATCACCTTTCTCAGATCGACACATGTCTTACATAAATTATTGATTACGAATAAAACATGATTTAAAATTACATTCAAGATGACCAATTGTGTATGTGCGTGTGGGTGTGTGCGTGGGTATGGGTGTGGGTGGGTGTCGGCGTGGGTGTGAGTATGGATGTGTATGAATGTGTAGAAGTAACCATTAGTAGATCAACACTGACAGACACACTCCATCCACATCCATACCAACACACACACCCCACACCTACCGACACTCACACTCACTACCATTTCCACTCAGACAAGCATTCACAACCATTTCCAGCGAGACAAGCGCCCGTGACGTCCTTGCATAAAGAGCATTTACGATTTCACAAAAATAAATGCTCTCCAAATTGTTACTTGTTTTTCTTTGTTCTGCTTTGGGTGTGGGTGTGTGGCTGTGAGTAGGTGGTTGTGTGTGGGTATGCATAGTCTTTTCACACAACCAAACCCACATCCACACGCACACCCACACCCTCCACACCTACACCCGACTTCTAATAGCTTCTTTGTTCGAGATCCGGTACATTATTAAAGACTCGCTTATTTTTCGTCATGTACGACATCGAATCCAACTTATATACAACTTTTCTATTCAATTGAGAACATGAGGGTGCAACGTTCACACGAACATAATCAATCATTAGATTTCCTCTATCGTCATAATTTATTTTTGATTGAAAAATGCATGTATGCGAATTATATCTTTTCAAAAAAAATACTGGAAAAAAACATGTTTTATGCGTCGTCACTCAATCTTGAGTTGCCTTTTTGAGAGTGCTAAAAGCCTTATAATAATATCAACATTTACTTTTACCTAGAACGAGATAAGTTCCACGTGGTCTATCTTGTAATATGGAGTCTTTTTCGTATACAGCATATGCTTAAAACAACATTCTATCGGTCTTTCGTTTGATTTTTTCTTTTCTTTCCTTTATTTAATACCACGATAAAAAACAACTAAACACAAAATAATCGATCTATTTCATCACCGTTGTAGACATGTAAGTCTTCAATAAGTATTCAAAAGATTTCGAATTCTCTAAGTCCTAAATAGGGATCCACGGTTTAACGAAGAAACTATTGCTTTTCTTAATCTGATAATGCAGTCACCACCTCCGGCTTCAACAAACGAAAATCGTGTCACCGAAACTCGAGAACAAGCAGAACTTGCGCATGCTAAAATGAATGAAAAACTTATTCCAACTTTCAACGGAACTCTACAAGAACAAAAAGTTAATGTTAATTCAACAGGTAGATAGTGTAGACTTAGGAACAGTATCGACCAATTTTCGATCTTTCTTATCAACTATACAGAGATACCAATAACGATTTATACACCTGTCGATGTTAATAAAACAAAGCTTGTGATATTTTTTCATGGAGGAGGTAAGTTAAAAGATGAACTATTACCTTAAATGACCTAATTAGCGTTTTCTTGATAATATTAATAGGTTTTACAGTGTGTAGTAGAAAAACACATCAAACTATTGTTAATATGCTAGCTGAGTAACAATAATTTTTTATTTCAAATTGTCTTATTCTACTAATTGTAGTCTTTTTTATCTTCAGTGCTACAAAAACTATTTGGATTTCAGTGGAATATCGCCGAGGACCAGAGCATAAGTTTCCTATCTGGTGGAACGATGCTTGTGAAGTAACTCGGCATATTTTGGAAAACAAAAGGTTTTATGGTTGTGTAACGTTCTTGGCACATTTTTCTTTAATCTCTTATGTGAAAATTTGCTTTCTTAGGTGTTGACTCATCAGCAAAAGTAGGCTTGGCTGGCGATAGTGCAGGTGCTACATTGAGTGCGTCAATTTGTCACACACTGAAAAATATTGATTTTCAGGTACAATGAGCATCAATATTTATCTTGATTTGTAGAGTATACTCAAAACACAAAGCAGGGATTGACTTTTTCTCAGCATACATAAATAGTTCTCGAAATGAATATATTTTTCCAAGCTATGAAGATAAGAGTCTTTTTTAAACACATTTAATAGATCCTCGTATTCGGCATTTTTGATATGAGACGAACAACACCTTCGTACAAAGAATTTGTTCATCCAATGTACTTTCTGACACCAGAGATGTTAGATTGGTAAGAAAACTATTTGATTTGTCATTTCTTTCCTGGTCAACATTGTCACAGGTTTACATCATCAGCATTTCGTGATATGAATGATTTAACTGATCCACGAGCTTCTGTGTTACTCAAATCCTCTTTTGAGGGTTTACCACCATGTTTGTTGATTCCTGCTGAACTCGATCCACTGCGAGACGACAGTTACGGTACGGGATATCCCTGAAACTTGAATACATAAATTTTGTCTTATTGTCTGATTTTTAGCATATCAAAAGGTTCTTGATCAAGCTGGTGTCAAGACCAAAATGGTTCTCATTAAAGGTGTCATTCACGGATATTTTTCAGTTCCAGGTACACAAAAAAAAAATAAAATCATGTGTTTTTCGTTCACAATCTTTCCTTATCGATTTAGGAGTTTTTCCAAAATCATGCGCTGAAGTAATCAGTTGTGTACAAGAATTCATGGATTCCATATAAAATATTAGCATTTACAACCGTGAACAGAACTGAAAGATTTGCTTTTGCTTCTAACTGATGAATTCCTTAATTATTAGTGGAAAAACATCAAATACTTGATTTTTGTTGGATAGCAATGGTCTCTATAGAATCAGTAAAATATCAAAATCCTCAAGAGTAGCTATTTAAATTCTTCTAATAAACATATATATAACCTGCCGATATTTGTCAAGGCTTCTAGATGTAACCGTAAAAATTCAGTTTTTTTTGGGCAATCATCTGACACACAAATCTTTCAATTTTTTATTAAAGAATGCTATTGACAACATTGAATGTTTATGGAGAAAAACTACTATACGTATAGTAAGAAACAAAAGCATACCACTTTATAGCTAAATATGATTCTTTTGCTTGAAAAGCAATGGTGTTAATAAGCAATGCCACATATTTATTTCATTCACAAATTTCATCACGTCTTTCTGGGATAATCGAGAAGATTTTCGTATACATTTAATATGGCGATTGAAAAGTATAACTAGTCTTTTGTTTTTTCTTAAATGATGCTATCATGATATGTAAATAAGTGTGTACGCTCGTCATCAGGCAATACTTCTTGCTACATATTCATCCTTCATTAATTAATAGTATAGTTTACACACTAGAGTATTATCTTCTCATCTGTTTTATAGAGTGTGGGGTGCGAGGATGTAGCTGTAGGTGTGTCAAAAGAAAAGGTATACACTCATACCCACACACCTAGAATGAATCAAATGGCAGTTTTATCAATTGCAACTTTGTCTTTTTATATCAAATGATCATACGTTTAGAAATGAATAGGTGAATGATCACTGTATCATTATAAGAACGTTAAGTAAATTTAGTGCATAGAATAATGGCAAAAACAAAGGACAGATTTTTTTTAGGTTGGTTTTAGTTCGTCATTGGGATTGAGACGTTTCTTGCGGCGACGATTACGATTTTCCTCGGGATGAAGTTTGCAAAAATGTTTTTGCTGTTTATTTTTTAAATCTGTCGGATGAGGAACGATTAGGTCGATGGTTGGAAATGGTGGTTGAGAAATCGGAATGGATACATTAATTGGTTGTAGAAGATCGACATATGATCGACAATGTTGTTTGTTTGAAACGATTTCAGCTATTTGATTCGTGAGATGACGAATTTCTAAACATTTGACAATTATCAGATAAGATTCTCTTTAAAAAATCATTAGATACGATATACTCACCTATAGGTGAAAAATGATATGTTCCTTTGACAAATAAACTCTTATAATTATCGCACCATGGATGCATACGTGTTAAATGTTGGAATTCGAGCTGATTGGTTATATTAAACAAATGTTAGTGAGTTCAACAAATTGACGATTTTGAATGTTATTCGAAATCGTATGTGGAATAGGTGATATTCATATCAGAATTGGTAGACGATTTTCACGACGAGAAAAGGCAAACTTTAATATTGTTAAAACAATAGGCAATTCTGATTCTAATCTTTGTAGAGTGGTTTGAAAATTCCAATTCATTATCTCTAATCGATGACTATTTAAAAAGCATTAAAAACTTTTATCAAGCTGGAAATCAAACAATACAATACATACAAGGATAAATCTGGATAAGCACACGATACAACTAGAACATCAATGGGATCGCCATGCGTAATTTGCTGCAACCATTCTATATTTAATGGACAGTTTGTATTGAGAATAGTTCCTAGATGGATAAAAATACAATATGGTTGATGAAGTTTCACAAACAAAACGACCACAATCAATCTGATTGTACATTCCTGGAAGACCACTTGTTTCAATTTGAACTTCATCTTATAGAAAAATTATAAAGAAAATATTTCAACTCAATTAACATTTATAGAAAAAAATGAAGGACGTATCTTTAATCACATATGTATCGAAAAATTCACCTGTTCTATAGAATACAGCACTCTGAAACAATACTATATCTATCCATTTAAATGATAAACACTTACCCACATATGGTCGATGATATTTATGTTGTACTTTAAGTTCAGATTCGTTTCATAAGTTTATCCTTATGTAACAATCGTAATAGATCACGATAGATCTTCTGTATATTATTGTCTCCAAAGAAAACAATGTGTTTTCCTTTGTAAATACGCACGATATTGGTTTGATCAAAAACGGGAAAACCATTTTCTGCTACATTAGTAGATGCAGTGTGTTACATGGCGTCAGCTCTCAGGTATTATCTCTTTCTTTCTGTCATCGTTGTGACGTCATCATATATATGTATATTCCATGTATATCTTCTTTCGTTCTGTCGTTATGCGTGAATGGATATATGTTCACTGTTCTAGTATATTCCAGCGTGTTCGTTTCTCTCTATTGTTCTCAGTAGTCTCTTGTGTGAGTTCTGAAACTTCTAGCATATTCCTTTTGTTCTAAACCCATGCATATATATACCCCTCTGTTCTCAACAATGAAGGGAATTGTACATACACGTTAACATAGACTTCTCTCTGACTTGCAACTGGTTAGTGGTTGACAACCTTTTACAAGTGGCAATAGGAGCAACAGTAGCAGAAGATGATGACGACGGTGAAGATTAGGATGGATTCGGTTTTAGACGAGGAATTTTACTCAAAGCTTGGATCGGAACTAGAGGTGACGAAAGAGATATAGCAGTATCACAATGACAGAGTAATGATGAAGTCATTGTTGATTAATAATGTATTTAAAAAATTGAAATCAATCTCTCAAACTTTTATCACGCAGCTCTTTTGAAACGATTGATCCCTTTTGATGCTATGCTCATTGTTTGAAACAAAGATGAAACGCCTTTCTACTTCATTGTTAACCTCTATAGTGTATTCCTAACGATCAGCGCCATCTCCATTAACGGCCTCTCTGTCGCCACATATTTCTGAAAAATTTCCTTTCCATCAGCTATACATATATGGATCATTTCTGCTCTCTCTAGGTATTGAGAGTTCGATCAATTAACTGCTGTTAAGGTGACTGCTCACTATCGACACATAAAATATCAATTCGTTGTGAGCATAGTTTTCGTTTGGCTTTACTGAGAGGTTGGAAAAAGTCTCCCAAATCTAAAGAAAAACAATTTTCGTTTAACCTTTTTGCAGTAAAATATATTCTTAGACGAAACCCAAAATGATCTCGTCTTTAATAGAAGGATGTGGGGTGTAAGTGTCAGTGTGGTTGTTGGTTTCGGTGTGAAGTAATAAGGATGACAACATTCAAATTCATACCGACACCGACACCCACACCCTATCTTTCGAGAATTCTTATAGAATCTATCAATAATTTGAAACGCAAGCATCACAAATTTTCCATAAGAATAAATATTTTCTAGTCGTGATCATCACAATTATTTGTTGAAACTAGAAAAAAGATTCATTTATTGAAAAAATTTATATTTGAAACAATTACACATTAAAAGTTCCTTTCAAATGGATAAATATATTCTTCTCATTTTTGAAAATATCAGTATGGATCTGTATATAGCGCTCGAACACAATACTTTATTTAGTTTCATTCAATTGTCAAAAGAATCATATTGCTGTTGAAGACATTAATAATGACTAAGAGAGCAACAGAAGGAAAGTTCATCTTTTAAAACGCACTTTTCTTTCTGTTCTGTGTCGTCAACGACAAAATACTTTTGTGACTCACATGTTTTGCGCGTGACCCGTAAGTCAGAAAAGTGCGTTGTCTTATTCATGCGATGCAGAATGAAAGAAGTATTCATAAAAAGGATACTCTCACTCTGCAACTCATTCTATCTGGAAGAGTCATAGGGTTTTTGCTCCAAGACAATCTCATAGTTAGATTCTTAACTAGATGATTTTCGGTCGTATTTTCAATCAGTATTTTGGATAAATCAAGGCTCAGATAATCATCCTTTGAAACAGTAAGTAGATATTCGATTGTTGTAAGTTCTTGTACTAGATTTAACACATTTGATACGATTCGTTCTTTTGGAGTCGAAGTCACATCCTCGAGATATCAGCCTATCAAAGTTTTGTTTGTATGTTGACTCGATTCGCCATGCAATGTATTAGCAAATTACGTACTGCAGATCTATTAACAAAACTAGTTCCTGTAGGAATGATAATTTGAAGAAAAAAAGTCAGAAAAAGACGAAAACATAGCAATTGTTCATGCTTATCGATCGAAGTCATGATCATTTTCTTGAAACTATATTCAGATAAAAATTGGGCAACACTATTTAAAAAAAATACTTTAGATTGTAGAGAATTTTCAACGCTATCAGAATCTGAGTGTATTAGAATCTAAGGAGGTGGCAGAGCTTCATAACATGTTTCAGAGAGTTTTCATAGGGCAAGTCAATTATAAATCAATAAATTAAAAATTAGTAGTCACTTCATTACTGTGTATTTATGTAAAGGCTTTTGAAATTAGAATCACATGCATTATAGTGTCTTTGAAGTATTGTTCATTGAAACTTTTCCTAACAAATTCGTGAGTAACAGATAAGGGATGACCCAATAGTCTTGATCGAACTTATAAAAATTCTCTTTTCTCCTTTATGAAAAATAAGGAAAAGCTCAAAATTGGTTGGATAGTTTCTAAATTTTCAGAGCTATAACTCAGGTTATAGCGAAGATATACAACTTCGAACTAACAGAAGATTCTTTGTTTCATATTACCTAATAAATAACTTTTTAAAATGCTTGTTGAAAAAAAAAGAGTATACAAAACGGTGCAAAATGAAAAGGTATGCAATCTACAATAGAAAGCTTATTTATGTATGGTTCTTTAATGTTCAAAATAGAATGATTTCTAAGCAAGTGGATCCTGATGTTGCAGAAAAGTAATTTTTTTACATATGATAAACTCTCTTTTCTTTGTATTCTATTTTCATCACTTTCATCCATTTTGAACACTGAAAAACCAAATAGAAAATAAATTTTCTATTGTAGATTGTAGATCTTTTCATGTTGCATCTTCTGGTACACTTTTTTTTTATCAAGGAACATTTGAAAAGTTTATTTATTAGGTCATACGAAACAAAGGATCTTCTGTTAGTTCCAAGTTGTATATCTTCCCTATAACCTGAGTTTAGTTCTGAAATCTAACCAATTTTGAACTTTTCCTTATTTGTCACAAAAGCAAAAAAAGAATTTTTCTAAGTTCGATGAAGTCTTTTGGGTCATTCCTTATCATGAATGCCATAATTTAAATATTAGAATAGTTAAAACAACTACACACTAGAATAAATTGTACTGATGTGTCTCAACGAGCAACTCCTGTCGCACTTTTTTGTTTATGTATCACATCACTTGCGTTCTCCATTGGTTGCCTATAACAACTAGTAAAGAACGCAAGAGATGCGGCACATTAAAAAAATTACGACAGGAGATACTCATTGCAAGACATCATCACATTTTATTTTTGTGTGGAAATAATAAATATTTCATTTTCTTTTTATATCCCAATTTCTAGCTTAATATAGTCTTAAAAGAAAAAAATGCACCGCTGTCGAGCAAAAAACACCCAGCGATGATGGTAATGACGCATAGAGTATCACTCGGTGCGTAACGTGAAGAACGAGAAAAAAAAAAGAAATAACATCTTTTTTCAGTGCCAATCAAAGGAGAGCCATAGGAGTGTTCTTATCATCGTCATCTTGATGTATTTTTTTTTCTTCAAAGATTAGCACATCATGGAAACAAATCCTAAAGATTTGACATATATTGATTTTAATAATGATTGGAAATGTTATTGTCAGCAATCAAATGATAACACTGATGAAAAAACTATCGTTTCGAATGCAAATAACATCAATATAGATCAAGATTGGTCTTCTATTGAATTACCACATATTATCGATACAATTCAACGTAATAAACGGTCTTGCAAATGGTGGTATCGAAAACAATTTGAGTGGACATTAACAAATGAACAATGTGAGCAACGAGTTTATCTTAATTTCGAACCTCTGGATAGACATGATAAACAATCTAATATCAATGCTATTATATGGCTTAACAGTACGCAAATCTTTTCAGGTTCATTAGTATCATTGAAGGATCCGCTAGAATTATCTTCAAAGTTATTCCACACTGGAAACAAACATCATAATATCTTAGTTATTTGTTGTATTAATACAAATCTTTTTCTTCATGCTTATCTGCTTATTCATGGTCAGGTTGTTTGTGCTACAGGACAAGTCATCATAGATGAAAAGCTCCTTGATGAACAAACAAATTCAGATAAAACACCAGACAATATTTTTGATTATAGAGTTAGTGTTGATGATGATAATGGACGTATTAATGTTACATTTAATCCCAAACGAAAATCAATAGTTACATCAACATCATTAAAACATTTTTCTCAATCGATTATAAATGAAAACCAACCAAATAAAGATAGAGATAATTTCAATGATGATCTTCTTGTACCTCGTTTAGCTATTGTCATACTTATTGTTGGTACAAGAGGTGACGTTCAACCATTTATCGCGTGAGTTCAAAAAATCTGTTCTACTTGCCGTAAATTTGATTTTATACTGGTTTTTTTAGTCTTGGTCAAAAACTTCATGCAACCGGTCATCGTGTACGATTAGCAACACATGAAACATTTCGATCATTTGTTCGTGGTAATGGTCTAGAATTTTATCCATTAGCTGGTGATCCAGCTGATTTAATGTCATTTATGGTAAAAAATGCCGGAATTATTCCTTCAATGAGTAGTATTATTGAAGGTGATGTAGGAAGAAAACGTCGTTCTGTTGCCGATATTCTTGCATCAACATGGCAAGCATGCATAGCCGATGATGATGAAACAAAATTACCATTTACAGCTGAAGCAATCATTGCAAATCCACCATCATTTGGTCATATTCATTGTGCAGAAAAATTACAAATTCCTTTGCATATCATGTTTACTATGCCTTGGTCACCAACACCTGTCTTTCCACATCCACTATCAAATATTAATAGTTCAATTGGACCAAAAGACAAGATTAATTTGTATTCCTATGATGTCATTGAAATGCTAGTAAGTCAATGAAAGAAACAAATAATTTTTTCACAAAAATTTCTTGATCATTTTATTTTCAAGACTTGGACGGGTGTGCGTGATGTTGTGAATAATTTTCGTAAGAAAACATTAGGTCTTAGAGAATTAAATACAGGACAAGCAATAAATGTATTAATTGATGAATGTGTACCACATACTTATTGTTGGTCACCATCGCTTGTTGCGAAACCTAAGGATTGGGGACCACATATTGATGTTTCTGGCTTTTTCTTTCTCAATCTTGGTACTGCTTATACTAATCCACCAAAAGATCTATTAGAATTTCTTGGAATCAACAATGATCGCCATCAGATAGATCATAAATTATCACCACCAATTTATATTGGTTTTGGTTCTATCACTGGTCATGATTCTCGTCGTATTTTGAAAATTGTTATTGATGCTCTTGATCGAACTGGATATCGAGCTGTATTATCTGGTCTTGCGTCAGATACAGATCATCTACCTTCTAATATATTCAAAATTGGCAATGTACCGCATGATTGGCTTTTTCAATATGGTAAGTAGAATTTTTCATTGTCATTTGTTGCATCATTCGTATCGTATCTTCTTCATAGTATCAGCTGTGTGTCATCATGGTGGAGCAGGCACAACAGCAGCTGGTTTACGCGCTGGAAAACCGACAATTATTGTACCATTTTTTGGTGATCAATTTTTTTGGGGTAGAGTAATTGAAAAGAGTGGGGCTGGTCCGCGTCCGTTACCTGGAAAATCGATTACTGTTGATCGATTGGTTGAAGCTTTTCATTTTGTTCATCAGCCAACTGCACGTGCTGCTGCAGAACGTATTCGAGATGCTATCTTGAAAGAAGATGGATGTGCAGCAGCAGTGCATGCATTTCATTCCAATTTACCTTTAACACGAATGCATAGCGATTTAGAACCAACGTTTGCTGCTTGCTATCGTTCAGATAAATATAATATACAAATATCACGTCCCGTTGCTCAAGTACTCGTAGCAGCAGGCGCTCTAGATGAATCAGAACTTCGTCATCATGTCGTTCGAAATTGGCAATTTATGCATGATCATCGCATGCATTTCCTTACTCATGGTCTTCTTGAACATTCACAAAAAGCTTTTTCAAGTGTGTTCATTGATACTGCTGCAGGCTTAAAACGTGCTGCTAGTAATGATAATATAGCTATGGGAACATTAGAAGGTGTTGGAAGTGTTACAAAAAATGTTGGTCTAGGTATTGGTCATCTAACGATTGGATATTTGTCATTATATGGTGAACTAAGCGATGCACTCGATCGTGTTACTTTTATTTATGATCCTTACAAGTAAGATACTTGTTATTAATCATCATATATGGAGACAAAATAATGTCAAATTTACTGTAGTGATGCACAGACACGTCCACGACCAAGAGTCACTGATTTCAAATCGGGTGCCAAGGCGGCTGGTCTGGCCTTATGGAATGGTTGGAAAGATGGAATGACGGGCATTGTAAGGCAACCACGTGCTGGTTATCAACGACATGGTGTGTTAGGTGGTGCCGCTGGAACATTAATAGCGACTGTCAATATTGGTATGAAACCTGCGGTGGGCACAATGTCATCACTCACTTGGCTCAGTCGAGGAACTTATGCTAGTGTGAGAAAAGCAATAGAAACTTATAGAAATGAAGGAAGACGTATTTCAAGAAAATTATTCGATACATCATTTTCGACACAAGACAATGAACGATTACAAGTAGATGATGATGAAGGAATCTCATCAGCCGCTAAAATAGCAGCAAGTAAATCAGGTTTTCATCCAAAAGTATGCCAACATATTCTTGACGAATTTGAAAAAATTCAAATAGAATACGATCAAAAAATGGCTTCTTCAATAAAGAAATCAAAGAGTATACCCAATTTTTTTTCCAACACGAGCAAAACATTAAAAGCTTTATCATCAAATAGACGTCCAAATTCATAGTGATCAATCAGAGACAATGTAATGATCTTTTAACTGTATATAAAATATGTTTTTTGTTATGGTGATGAGATGAAAATACATATTCATACAAATGTATGAAATACTTTTACATGATGATCCTAGATTTGCTGATGTATGAAAACTTGAAAATGTGTATTAGTGTGCTGAGAGAAAAAGTTGTTCGGCAAGTGTACGATACATCTTGAGGGCGGGTAGGCGGGTGAGAGTGAAGATAATGGTGAAGAGGAGACTCGCAACCACACTCTGTTGCAAATGGCTTTTATTCTTTTTGGTAGATATTGAGGATGAGTTTTTCAATTAGATTCTTCTTTGAAGAACATGAATTGAGATAAACAATAATCATATATTAAAGTAATTTTCAATCGACTATTCATTGAATAACAATTGAAATATCAAATATTAACATTAACTATTTTACTTAACAAATCATTCGATTTAAACTTTTTTAAAATAAAGCATATTGATACATTGTTTTAAGCGATTTTCTGAATAGTTATTTTCAAATCTATGTGAATAGATAAATCGAATTATTTTTCATGAATTTATTGCAATTGATGATAATTCTTCAAACTATTTGTTTTTTTGGACTTCCACGTCGAATTCTGTCGAGTTCGAAATTGTAGGATCTGATGACATTCATCAATAACAACTTCTGGAATTAGACAGAATCAGATTCTATAAATATATACAAATCCTTTACTTTTTATTTTATTTATTTAAATTTCATTTCATTTTTTTTACTATTTAATTATATGTATTTAAAGTTTATTGATTTATTAAGTAATTATTTAATTTAATTTTTTCTTTTATTTTCATCTTATTTTATTACTTGATCTACAATGGCATCTTTAGAATTGATGTCATTGTCTTTTATTTTGGGTGTGGGTGTGGATCAGATGAAGACGCACTCATACCCACACCCACACATCCTAAAGTTTGACCGAAGACAATCTATGCGAAGAAACTGGAAGCTACAGTTAGTCTTTCAAGATTTATGAATTTAAGAATCTTATTATGAACCGTCAACTAATTCAATAGTGTATCATTCAGAGCACGATTCAATCCTTGTCCTTCAGAATAGAGTTAAAGGAGACTCATAAAGTCGACATGTGATTATAACAGCTGCATTACTTGTTATTATTCTAATAGTAAAATGATGAGTTTGATTTTTCGAAATGTATTACAAAAATGTCAAAGAAAATTTTCTTTTTCTCTCTGGACGGATAAAGAACAATTTTCTTATCTTTACCTTTTTGGGATGGACATTAGTAATGGAAAAATCTATATCCCCTCGACTGTAGCGAGGGTCATATGAAAAAAATAGTTTGTGTTTGCATCGGGATCAAAAAAACATCAGGGTCAAAAAGAAACTTCCACTTTAGAAAATTTTCTATAAAGATTGACGAAAGCAAATCAGGGTCGGAGAATCCGAATCTGAAGTCAGATTTTTCAAAAACTTAAATAGTTCTTTGTCTGAAAAAATCGTACTTTTCTCTATCGACAGAAGCCATGTTAAAAGAATTTTCAAATAGAATTTACAGCGTGTAAGGCAAATGCCGAATAATCGATGATTGTTTTGATGTTCTGCAATAATATACCAAATGACTATCAGCAAGACTTGAGAGAAGTACCGATAAACAACTAATCTCTAACATTCAGTCGAGGGTTAAGCGAGTCGCACAGACGATTGTTACTTGTTGATAAGATGTGTAGGACTAATAATACATGCTCTCTAGACTAGATGTTTAAGTGATTGATGCACTTTAGTTATAAATATCAGACAATCAATTATTCGGAGTGATAATATATTAAATGATTTAGAATTTTATTCTGATTCGAACATACTGTCTCTATTTTTGAACGAATTTCGCAGATCTGTTCCAAGCAAACTACTTTTCGATAGTACTGATCTCTGTATTTTTTCTGTATTATTTGTTTAACAAACAAATGAAGCTTTTGCCATTATCCATTATTCCATTCTAGTTCCCTTCGTTACTAAAGGAACAACCTTCTCATTGGTGAATATCTAAAAAAAAAACGTGTCTGCCAAACAAGGAGTGTTAAGTTGTTTCTTATCTTATGCTAGTTTAGAATAAATTAGAATTCTTCTGATATTTTCATTCCTCGATTTTCATCTACAGATGTCGATAGTGAGAAGCGCATTTGCTACTGATAGGCCGAACGAGATGGCTCTTTTCTGTGACACAGTATACCATATGGACTGGGAAAAAGTTTCGTAGTCGACAGTGACGAATTTCGTCGCCAGTCATTTACTGCTAAGTTTTTCTTCGTGAGCCACGACTTAGAATGAGAATTACATATTGAAACGTTTCATTTTTTTCGAACAAAACACATGGTGGACGAACTTAATGAAGGTAAGACTACTTCTTCAGTGAACTTGTCAATCATAATTATCTACTTCATTGTTCTTATTACAAAACTGTAGAGCCAATTGGTTTAGACGACATGTTTCTATTTTATATCAATATCAAAGATTTGGTCTTAAATACAGCAAATAACTTCGAAAGCCCATATAACAAGCTTAATCTGAGCAATAGTAAATAGAAACATTGGAACCAGCTTGAAACGAGACAAATTTTTTCATATTAGGTACTGATCGATCCGAAACTTCAATTTTCGAGACTATGAATCAGTCTTTAATTGTGAATGAATCGCAGTTGTCGACTGAAGCAAAGACATCGTCAAATAATCGAGATTTCGATGAATTGCTCCGAGATTTCGATGAATGGTATCGAGAGTTGACTAATGCCGGTAATCTTTACAATAATTTATTACCCACTAACTGAAATCCAACATTTAGATCGATCTTCGGAATCAAATTTGCTGTCCTTGCCAGACAATTCCATCAATACAATTGCTACTTATTTTCTAATATTTGGTTTGTGTTATGATTCACTTCAGTATCTTAGATCGACATTGAACCATTTTTCTTTTAGAAAATCCTCAGCAAAACAATCCTACTATCTTGAATGGTGCAGAACCGCAGCCAGGTGCTACTCAAGAATCAAGAGATCATGAAACAGAAAATCAGGTTTGTTAGCATCAGCTAAGCTGCAAAAAGTCTAAGAATGGGTTAAAGTTGTCCAGTATCTTTAATTATTTTCTTCATGTGTATTGGTGATCATCACTAATTCTCTACAAATGACGTATAAAATGAAAACATATAGAGAAATACATATTTTTTATCTCGAATATTAAACAAATTTTTGAAAATCTGTACCCAATATTCGACAAACCATTGATGTCTCAATGCTATCTGTATGTTTTATTTTAGTTACAAATTGAAGCGAAACAAGTATTTCAGTCTGACACAGACAAACAGAAATTGCTAGTCATTGATCACTCTATTCGTGATCGATTAATGACTATCAAAACACAACCGCCAAGCAATTGGCGTGTACGTTATAAAAGTGACGGTCAACGTCAAGTTGAAAAATCTCGTACCAAGCCAATGGCAATCAATGTATGTATTCTTCTTCCGTTTTTCCTAGTTAATTATCTCTCGTACATTTCTTCAGATGCCGGACTTGAAAGAATGCTCATTGAACATGCAACAATCTTTTTGGATTCAACTTACTCTGTTAACGTCTACAAATAATCCGAGAAGACAACATTTTATGCATACGAATAATCTCGAGTATCATGATCACGACGTGTATGAAAACAATCATGCATCTATTCGCATACGGTTAACACAACGAGACATTCATAAATGTGTAAAAAAGTAAATGGATTATTATTCTTTTTCTTTCTCAAGAGTAATGGAAGAGAATTGATTGAATTCTCTATTGACAACAAAACATGAGTTTTTAATTGAAATATTACAGAATGTCCCAAAATTCATGATAAGAAAAGAAAATCAAATAGTTTTACCCAGGTTGAACCTAATGAAGTGATTTTTTCTTTCGATACAGAAATTTCCCCAGTTTTTATTCATAAAGAAAAGTTTAAGAACACAAAAAAAATTAGCGGAAGTGTTTTTTATATAAAAATTTGCTTCACTGACTCTCAAGAAAACAATAGCTTTGACATTGCAGTAGCAGGAAACCTATTTCATATATATATTTTTTGTTTATTTTCTTTTGCATTCCAACTCTCGAACCCTGCAGTGGTCTATGTGACTCTTCGGAGCAAAAACCACAAGACTTTCCAAGTGTTTCTGACTTTTTAAAAATGCTTTTTTTTTGCAATCCGTCAATATTTCCAATCTGGACGGCTTTTTATCATTATCCGGATTCCATTATGTATTCATTGATTTCTAGTCTTATAGCTATTTTTGGGACGTCACCAATTTCGATATTTTGTATGCATGAAATTTCCAAAAACTCAAGAGACCTATTGTTACTTCTCCGTAACAGCACTAAGTGTTTGCATTAGAATAACTTATGTTTTTTTTGGTATTCGTAAGCTTTTTTGTATCAATAAGAACTTGGAACTCTTCTCTATCGACGGAAAAAAATGAATGCATTAGGTTAAACCCCGAGAGATATATTTGATTTTCTTTTTGCCATCAGGACTTTTGTGACACTCCCTACTTGAAAAGATATTGAGACGAAATCTTAGGAAATAGAACAGACAGCGTTATTTTATCTAGTTAGAAGGCATCTTTGAGTAATTCCTACTTTGTCATTGCATAATAGATTTCATCGCCTTTCAATCTTTACTACGAAACGCGACGATTACACATATGAGCTGATTCCATTTGAACAATCATCGGCAAATAGTTCATCTGAAAGATGTATTTATCTTTAATTATTGTTATCTGAAGAAGATTTTTTATATGGTACATTTCAGATACTATTGCTAACAAGAAAAAAATGACAAATGCGGCGAAAGCCAAACAGTTTATCAAAGATTACGACTTGAAATCATGTTTGATTTCTTGTCAATTGATGATAAAACAGAACGAAACGTGGCATTCCACGGATATCGCTTGTAAAACGCACATCATTAGGGAAAGTGAGCAATGCTCAAAACAAAAAAAAGACGGAAAAAATATTTATTCTTTTAGAAAAATCCGAAAAAAAACCAGCCAAATTAATGAAAAGACTGATATCTGAAACCGATGACGAACAGCAATCAGAGGACAACAGCTTTACTGCGTCAATGTCAAGTCTGACAAAGAGACGAAAACAGTCTTCATTGTTAATAAATGAATTACCGGTAAATTTATTAGTAATCATTTGATTCAGCGGCATTTTTTGCATTTAATAGGTCACTTATACCAAACAAATGAAGCCAGTGATCCCAAGGATCACTATTAATCAATCAACATGAGTTTATTATCATCAGTTCAGTTTAACTTAACAGTGAGTTTAAAAGTGGCGTTGTGAACATTTCACACGTGTGAAATGTTCACAACGCCATTTTTAAACTCACTGTTAAGATACACCGGTTGTTAACAAACGCCTTCGGTCGAATCTGTATTGAAGATCAATGACGTTTGCATGTCTTGCAGGGATGCACCAGCTACAGTCCGATGGGGTATCCAACTTTACTGGGGATCTAATAGAACTGGATACCCAGTCGGACTGCAGCTGGTGCATCCCTACACGACATGCAAACGTCTTTGATCTTCACTACACATTCGATCGGTTGTTGAGAGATCTATTTGAGTTTGTGAGTGGCTTTTTGGAGATGGATGAGTGAGAGATAGTGCGAGTGTGGCTATAGTTGAGTGAGTGAGGATGTCCATGAGCACGGGTCGATGTGGGTACAAGTGTAAAATGGTGAGAGTAAGGATATTCGTGCGTGGGCGAGTGTGAATGTGTGTAGGGGTAGCACTTTATCTTTATTTTACTTTGAAAATGTAAAGTGAAGTAAAATAAGGATAAACTGCTACCCCTACACACATTCACACTGGTCCACGCACTAATATCCTTACTCTCACCATTTTACACTCACACCCACATCGACACGTGCTCATGGACATCCTCACTCACCCAACCACAGCCAAACTCTATTCTTACTTCGAGCTCACCCACCCATATTCACAACAGGAGTATCGTATTAGTTTGTCACAATTCTAATCGAGGAAAGTTTGGTTTTATATTATTGTTCTACTAGTGTGTGCCTTGTTTCATGTTCCAACCAGTCTTGCTACCATGTTCTATTTTACAACAGATTTTATTGTCTATTTATTCAAGATTGTATTATAATTAATAAAGCAATATTTTTTTATTGAGCCAAAAAAATTTCTATTCTTTGCTTCTTCATTAATAATGTAATTGCGCATACTATAGGAATGATCATGGAGAAATTTTGCATTCTCGCGAAATGAGTAGACGCATATGCATGTGATTGTGGGTGTGGGTGGGGTGTGGTTGTGGGATGGGTGTGGGTGTAATTGTAGTATTCTCTCAAATCCACACCCACACCCCACACCCCACACGCCGCACCTACACTCACACGCCACACCTACACCCACACCCACACCCACACCCCACACGCCACACCTACACCCACACCCACACCCCACACGCCACACCTACACCCACACCCACACCCCACACGCCACACCGTNAAAAAACATATCATTCGAAAGAGCTCGAAAAGCTGAATCTGATGATATAATTTTCTCAGAGACGTACTCCCAAGTCCCCAGCAAAATTTTTCAAAATACTTTTACAAGCGAGAATACGATAGCCTTTCGCTCTCTTCCTGTATATTTCTCCTTTCCTTTTTTCTTATTGCACATGCGAATGTGTTCATATATAGAATGATTCATTTATAACGTATATATGCGTTAACAAAAAAAAAAAAATTTCGATCACCATTAAAAAGTTAAAACAATTATTCAAAAAGGATGCACTTTGTATGAGTACATAACATAAGATTAAATAAAAATAATTCTTGTAGTGATACTTTATTTTTCAAAAAGTCATATTTATATATGCATTCAGAATATTGAAAATAATCTTTTTCTTTTACCTCAGATATTTTTGCTGACTCATTTTTAATTATATAAGAAAACAATCTTCCTCTCTCTAACGTAATTTCATATAAAAGTAAATAGCTTAATTATGAATCTTGATTTTTTTATTAAATAGCATCTTTGCTTTCTCTTTTTTTCTTATAAATTATCTATGTACTCGCTATTTCAATTCACGAGAAAAAAAAAGAAAAGCACATGTCATCAATATCACATGCATTATTGTTAGTCTTTCTGCATGTGGTTCCTATTCAATCTTTAGAGAACATATTGAAAATTTGACTTTTATACCTGAAATTTTATTTTATTTCGTGTTTTTTCTTTCTTTAATTTCAGTTATCATTGTATTTTATAATTATTTTAAAATATTTTATTTAAATTTACAATAGAAACATTTAAAGTAACTTATCAAATAAACTAAAAATACATTATAGTTTTAATAAAACTGTCAGAAATTGACTTGTTGATGTAAACATTTGTTGATCTTCTTCATTATTGTTTTCACAGACGTTCAGTTCACTATACTAAAATAAAAAAAAGAAATATTAGATTAACATTGAAGTTTGAAAATGTTATAGTATAAGTTGATTTAATAAATACTTATCTTATTTATGAAATATCGATTTCTGTTTAATTATATATTGAACAATGATCAAATCAAAAACAGTCATTTCATAATTATCTCATTTGATAAGACTAAAATAAATAAAATGAAGCATAGGAAAATATGAAAATTTTGTTTTATTTAAAATGTTGTATTCGACGATTTCATCCTTCTCCTCAAATAACATCAACGTGAATATAAACTCAAATTTAGATAGACATTTAATTGCAATCTAAGCAAATTTGAATAGTAATTCATGATGTGAGGGTGTGGGTGTAGGTGTCTGTGTGTGGGTGTGGGTGTAGTAGTGGGTGTAGGCGTCGGTGTGTGGGTGTGGGTGTAGGTGTCGGTGTGCGGGTGTGGGTGTGGGTGTGCGGGTGTAGGTGTCGGTGATTGGGTGTGGGTATGTGTGAGTCAGTTTGGGTGTGGGGTGGTATGGGCGTGGGTGTAAGTGTGAAAGCGGTTGTGGGTGTCGGTTTGGGTGTGGATGTAGCCTTCATGAGAATTCACACCGACTCACACATTCTGGCCCACACCCACATCCACACCCCACACGCATATCCACCCACACCCCACACCATACCCACCCACACCCCACACCCACACCCACCCACACCTTCACCATCATTTGTTCCAAAACCAAAGGATTGGGGACCACATATTGATGTTTCTGGTTTTTTCGTTCTTAATCGTGGCACTGCTTATATTAATCCACCAAAAGATCTATTAGAATTTCTTGGAATCAACAATGATCACCATCAGATAGATCATAAACTAATACCACCAATTTATATTGGTTTTGGTTTTATCACCGGTCATGATTCTCGTCGTATTTTGAGAATTGTTGTTGATGCTCCTGATCGAACTAGATATCGAGCTCTATTATCTGGTCTTGCTTCAGATACAGATCATCTACCTTCGAATATATTTAAAATTGGCAATGTACCACATGATTGACTTTTTCAATATGGTAAATAGAATTTTTTCATTGTCATTCTCTGCATTATTCGTATCCTATTTTCTTTATAGTATCAGCTGTATGTCATCATGGTGGAGCAGGCACAACAGCAGCTGGTTTACACGCTGGAAAACCAACAATTATTGTACCATTTTTGGTGATCAATTCTTTTGGGGTAGAGTAATTGAAAAGAGTGGGACTGGTCCACGTCCACTACCTGGAAAATCGATTAGTGTTGATCGATTGGTTGAAACTTTTCATTTTTTTCATAAGCCAACTACACGTGCTGCTGCAGAATGTATTCGGGATGCTATCTTGAAAGAAGATGGATGTGCAGCAGCAGTACATGCATTTCATTCCAGTTTAACTTCAACACGAATGCATAGCGATTTAGAACCAACTTTTGCTGCTTGCTATCGTTCAGACAAATATAATATACAGATATCACGTCCCGTTGCTCAAGTGCTCGTAGCAGCAGGCGCTCTAGACAAATCCGAACTTCGTCCTCACGTCGTACGAAATTGGCAATTTATGCTTGATCATCGCATGCATTTTCTTACTCATGGTCTTCTTGAATATTCACAAAAAGCTTTTTTCAGTATGTTCATTAATACTACTACAGGCTTAAAACGTGCTGCTACTAATGATAATGTAGCTATGGGAACATTAGAAAGTGTTGGAAGTGTTACAAAAAATGTTGGTCTAGGTATTGGTCATCTAACGATTGGATATTTGTCATTATATGGTGAACTAAGCGATGCACTCGATCGTTTTACTTTTATTTATGATCCTTACAGGTAAGATACTTGTTATCAATTATCATATGTGGCGACAAAATAATGTCAAATTTGCTGTAGTGATGGAAAGACACGTCCATGACCAAGAGTCACCGATTTCAAATCCGGTGCCAAGGCGGCTAGTCTGGCCTAATGGAATGGCTGGAAAGATGGGATGACGGGTATTGTAAGGCAACCATGTGCTGGTTATCAACGATGTGGTGTATTAGGTGATACTACTGGAACATTAATAGCAACTATCAATATTGGTATGAAACTTGCGGTGGGCATAGTGTCATCATTCACTTGGCTTTGTCGAGGAACTTATGCTAGTGTGAGAAAAGCAATAGAAACTTATAGAAACTAAGGAAGACATATTTCAAGAAAATTATTCGATACATCATTGTCGACACAAGACAGTGAACGATTACAAGTAGATGATGATGATGAAAGAATCTCATCAGCTGCTAAAACAGCAGCAACTAAATCAGGTTTTCATCCCAAAGTATACCAACATATTCTTGATGAATTTGAAAAAATTAAAATAGAATACGAATCAAAGATGGCTTCTTCAATGAAGAAAGCAAAGAATATACCCAATTTCTTTTCCAACGCTAGCGAAACGTTAAAAATTTTATCATCAAATAGACGTCTGGATTCACAATGAACAATCAAAGACAATGTAATGGTCTTCTAACTGTATATAAAAAAATTTTTTGTTATGTTATGGTAATGAGATGAAAATATATATTCATAGAAATGTGTGAAATACTTTTCCATGATGATGCTAGATTTGCTGATGTATGGAAACTTGAAAATATGTGTCAATGTGCCAAAAGGAAAAAGTTGTTCGGCAAGTGTACGATATATTTTGAGAGTGGGTGGGGGTAGTGAAGATAATGATGAACAAGAGACTCACAACCGCATTCTGTTCTAACTGGCTTTTATTCCTTTTGGTAGATATTCAGAATGAGTTTTTCAATTAGATTCTTCTGTGAAGAACATGAATTGAGATAAACAATAATCATATATTAAAATAATTCTCAATCGAATATTTATTGAATAACAATTGAAATATCAAATATTAACGTTAACTATTTTACCTAACAAATGATTCAATTTTAATCTTTTATAAATAAAGCATATTAATATATTGTTTTAAACTTTAATTATATGTATTTAAAGTTTATTGATTTATTAAATATTTATTGAATGGAATTTATTTTTTCTTTTATTTTCATCTTATTTTATTACTTGATCTACAATAGCATCTTTAGAATTGATGTCATTATCTTTTATTTTATTTTCTCCTAAATTTATGATTGAACAGTTGAAGTAAATTAAACATAAGTTATGAATTTTGACGTAAAATACATCAAATTGAGTTCTGATATATTCATATCAAATAAAAAATAAAATTAGTAGAAAAAAAAATATTAATCATAAATTTTCGAAATCAAGTTGAATTAGAATTAGTCGAACATATTATTAATTGAGTTAAATTAATTTAATATTTCTTTGTTTTGATTGGTTAATTTATAAAATATCGTTAAATTTTAGAATCTCTCAATACTAAGATAATTAGTATAGAAAGTATTCTATCTATAATTCGATTAAATCGAATGAGAGGATGATTATTCAAAATTTGTTCCATTAAATAAAAGTGTCTAGTGTCATTCAAAAGACAAGGGTGAAAATAAATTTTGTTTGATTTATTGATAAATGAACTTACAATAAAAGAATTTCACAAAATTTCACTATATTATCAATAAATAAATGATAATCTAGTAATTATCTATCGAACTAAGAAATAATTGTCTAAAACAAATCGTTTTCGATATGGTTTATTGAAAAAAAAACAAGAAGAAAATCAACTCATTTTATTCCTCCATTGATTTTTTATTTATCTTTAATTATTTTTTGATCATAAATAATATCGTTTTAATTAGTAATTTTATTGATTTAGATAAGAATTGCATTTTGTATCGTATTATCTCTTATCTTACAACGATATTATTTTATATCAAGTATTGAAATAGAGATATAACTATCGTATTTATAATCACAAATACGTTTAAATAAATAGATGCAATTCTTTCTAGTTTTTTCGTAGACTCAATATAAAGAAAAATAATTGTTTTGAATAAAATGGATATAAACAAGGTAGAAATTGTTATATGTATATAGACATAATGTTTATTATAAATAAATATAATATAGACAAGGTTAACTAAGAAAATAGCAGTAAATAGTAAATTTATTTAAAGAGAAAAAAAAAGTTGAAGTTCTTCTATGATAAATAAAAAAAGATCAAGTATTTGGTCTTTTCTTATTTAATTTATTTGTTTTTTTTTTGTTTAAAACAATTAATCATTTGTGTTGATGGGTCAGATTTCGAAGGATGAATTATAATTGATCGAAGCCGACGAATACAACCAAGAACTTCACTTATTTTCCATAGTGAATCATCGATAGTGAAAACATTTTCAATAATGATTTAAAAGATAAGTAATAGATAAAATACTCTTTTATTCATTATCTTGTTCAATAAATAAAGAATATCTTATCGTATGAAAAAGAAAAAAATTTCTCATCTACAAATAATATATAGATAAGAGATTTGTTTGCATATACAAATGTATGTATATAGATCGAGATATATATATCTATGTTAATGTGTATTTGTCTGCGAAGATAAATAAGTGTTGAGAGAAAAAAACAAAACGAATTTTGTTGGATACTGATGCCTAATTTCTTGTTATTTCTTGTTATTATTGGTATTATTACACCAAGCGAATCATTTATAGGTGGACTTAGACGCACGTAAGATAAATATATTTTATTAAATAAATTATAATAAAAATAAATTTGAAAATAAAAAGATGTGATTGTAAAGCTGTATCGGATACAGTTCATTTTCCATTTCATACATGGAAAATTTCAAGTTGTGCTTTTTGTTCATGTAATAATCCAGCTATGGCTAATTGTGAAAAAGCATGTCAAGATATGGTTAAAAATTATGCTAATACAGGTTATATTAAAAATATTTTTTTTTCCTTTAAAACATTCATCTAATTTTATTTAAATAGGTTGTGGAAAAACAATTCGAGGTTCAAAAACTGTTTATAAATATGATGCAGGTGGTTGTGGAAAAGGTGTTGGAAAAGAAGTTTATGCTTGTGCTTAAATACATTAAAAACAAAACTTCTCGCTTATCGTAGTATTTCTTGTGTTTCTTTTTGTTTTTTAAATAAACAAGCAATAGATTTCATTTTACATATTTCAATAATTAATTCGAAAATGAAATTACTGAAGAACATTAAATGTACAAAGAACAAAAAAAAGTATTGATATACAGGTCGTTCAGTTTATTTTGAAACGATTTGCATGCAGCTTTTCTTCGTTATTAACTAATACAGATCTCATGGTTCTCATATCAGTCTATTCCCCTAACATTGTATATGCTGTCATGATATTTATATTCTNGAGTTCGGCTATAATGGTATAGTTTTCGGGATCAAAGTAGGATTTTTGGGACACAATGTTTGAATTAGATGAGTAATTTCTTATACTCTCTCGATTGACCGTCTGACTCATAAAGAAAAAAGGGCACAGTTGTGACCAATGTCTGAAATTTGAATGATTCTGATGAGGTTTCACTTCATGTATGTTCATCTATGTTTTTGTGTTTATGAACATGAGAAGCACGCTAGGGCTTCGCATTCGTACAATACTAGCTTCCTTAGGATGCTCTGTCACCGGAAATCCTTATCGAGAAAGAAAGAATATTCGAATTGATGAAGAATATCAGAAAATGACATCATTCGGTCGTACCTGAAGAAAGCTAACACAACTTCTTTCTTCCTTGCTTGGCAAGCACATTAAGTGATGCATCAGTCGTGATAGGTTTCATTATTGTGTTTTCTTCTTGTCTTTAGCATAACTCATATGTGACTAACTTTATGCCAATTCACTCTGAGTTAGCTGATCGCTAGAATACCATTAATGTTTTACATATAATTCCGAATGATCTGCCCGAAAATAGAACTACATTTACTATCAATACATCACATATGAAAAATAATTGTATTACAAACGTGACACGTAGAAGAAGAAAATGAAAGAAATTCATTGTACATAATCAAATATCTTACACATGTGCCTTGGTATGTCCCTGTAACTTTACTAAAACGAAATACATTTATTTCAAGTAGAAGTCTGCAGGGTAGGGATGACCTGTTCTGGCTTGCCTGGCAGAGTAGGGACAGGTTAAAAGATTTTTCACTGGACATTGCACAGGTTACTGAGGTCATAATCTGTTAACTTGCAATAGAAATGTTGTCAAAGCATGCTTAGTAGATTTCAAAGACTAGGAGCTGTGGTTTTTAGATAGAATAACTTATTTCCATATATTTATACATGTAGTACGAAGAATAATGATGTTGTATTTCTGATCGCGCTAATCCCTGCGACGAACACAAAAAATAAGCATGCGCTCGGTATTCCTTTTTTTTATTCGAGAGCTTTAATTTTTCAACCTGACAATTCAATCAAGTATCCGTGAACGTTTTCTATAGTAACACATTCGTATTGAAAAAGCTCTACATCTTACTGCGATCTATACCTGAGTTTATCATAGACAGGTGGTGAAAACGATCGGGTTTTCTCTATTATTTGCACGAAGCAAGATATTTTCCTTTAATAGTTACAAGCTTAGCCTTCGGATCTTATGTGAAAATGAGATTGTAACTCGTCTTACTGTCTTTGATCAACCTGAAGCGACTTTTTCTTGTAAAACCAGTAAATATCAGGATATCGAGCTGATAACGAGTCACTATGGAACTTTTTATCTCTTGGTCACTCTTTTAGGAACTAGAGAAGTTTCCTAGCACTTCTCTTCTATTTTACATCAGCAAGAAAACAGTTAGTTATTCTTCAACTCTAATGATGCTTACGAGTCGAGTGTCTTTATTGAAGAGATTTATCTTGAAATTGTGATAAAAGTGTAGCTTTCACTGCCCAGCA